TCCTAACTCCGCGCGGTGGTCACTTCGGGTTCCCCGCGGCACATGTCCAAGTTCGGAGAGCCAGCTGTTATGTTATGTTTGGTTGGGTTAATAGCAAACGTTTTATCTATTATAATTAGGTATAAGAACGCTCTAAAAACACTAAGTTTTAAAAAAGGTTTTAAAAGCTCGCATATGCGGACACAATTTATCTACAACATGGATAATTTGACGATTATAAGTGTACAGTATACTTGATTAGCGCTGTCAAATCTGTCACAACGTAAGCAGGTATCCCGCGCGGCACTCGCGCCACCCGGCGCTCGGACCACACCACGTAACCATTGGCCTACATCTTACACTACTCGACTCAAGTAGCTGTTTATGGTACTCACACTGTCAACACGTACTTGCCTGCCTAATGAGGTAGTATAATATTACGGAATCATCTTCTAAAATGTAGGCAAAAACAAACTGATGTTTATCTAACAACACTAAAAATGGCTGATGAAAGTTGGAGTTCATTTTTGAGTTAGGTCGCTTTTACGAAAACCTCAAGTACTAACTCTCTCCCCTTAGAATTTAATTAAGAACTATGTGGGTTTGAAATAAATGTAGATACTTTTTAAATTAAAGAGTTATTTACAAAATGCAAACTAACTTTGCACTCAGAAACGTTGCAGAACAACTCAGCGCTGTATTTCTTAATCTTGTTTGTACTAAGTTCTAATTAGATTCAGGCTTGTACAAAGCTTTCAGCTCCATTTCAATGCACAGAGCTTTCACTTCTCCAAGTAGTATACTTTAAATCCCTTGTTTCCTTAATGAGCCAGTAATGTATATTTACTACTGCATGTCGATCGTAAGTCAGGTTCTATTAAAAGCTAACCAGCTCAAAAACCCGTGTAACTATTCAACATAAATGTGATACCATATACTGTTACTGTAATTTCAATAAATTTCACTCACAAGCAATAGCCACATTTGCCGTAAATTGATTAAGTTTGAGCACATGATAACCTGCATCAAAACATTAACGTAGTAGTGTAAAACTCGTTAGAAACTCTGCATTAACACTGAAGTTTTAAAATTTAATTGTAAACAAACCACTGAACCAATCTTTCTGAAATTTTTATGGCTTATTGGTAGGTTTATTGTTAACATTTCCATGCATTTTAAAAATTGTATTCACAATAGTTTTTATGCTGCTATTAATTTTTAAAACGTATGCTAATATATCGTTAATAAGACGCTACAAACTTCGTTCATAATACCATCGCGGGAGCACGTGCGAATCTGCGACGTTCCTGGGATAGATTCTTCTGTCCAAGATTCTACCACACTGACATTGCTTCAGTATTCACTCACGGCAAACTACTGTGAATTTATTTAGTTTGAAGTCTATCAACATGAAACTGTGTCGGTTGAACTCCTCCGCCATTTCTTAACCGATTTTATCCATTGACGTCTCATTTACAAACTGGCCTTACATTTTTAAAAAGTCCCTTGGTCTCTGCCCCAGTGGCTTTTAAAGTTCCTATGTTATCCTTATGAAGAACATCATTGTTAACATTTTGATCAACTGTAATTTAATTGCTGTTATCTATTTTTTAATTCAATGAAACGCATTGGGTACATTTACTGATTTTGTTGAAATTAAATGTATTCTATTTTAATTTACATTCGTACAGTACATATTCATATTACAATGTAAAAAATCGAGAGAGCCTGGACAATCTGATATGTTTAGCAGATAGGAAAAATGAATTGACATAGTACCCTGTATTTCTTGAGCAATCATTGAAAGAACCGGTTTGTTATCCATGGAAACATAGGAAAATCATAGAACGCCACCATTCTTGACTTAACTTCATGATGATTGGCTAAGGAAAACCCTCTAAGGCTGAATTAAACTGGTACGGCAAGGACATTAATATGTTTTCATAAAAGTCGAGTGATTTTAGAAGAATATGACTACATCCAAGAAAGCTTAATAAAGCTTGGATTGAAGGATTCACCTTATTCACATTCAAGGGAAACAAAAAACCATCTGAACAACATTAGGCCCTTCAATTCTGCATTTTTTCAGGTAAATATAATTTGCATTATAACGGTACCTCCAGTAACTAGCCAAATTAATGCCAATTGAAGCAAATAAAATTGTGACAGAGAGGTTATGTAGAACATCAGGTAGCTCTTAAATAATGCAAACAAAATGTTATCGCTATAAAAAAATTGACTGAAATTTGTACTGGCGACAATGGGGGGTACCATGCAGACATTGACGAAGGTCAACATAATGCGGCTAGAAGTGGGAAACATTTGCAGAATACACTAAAAACCCAGATCAGTTTTTGATAATTGATAAAATATTTACAAAAAATGTTGATTATATGGAACTGTAATGTACGTAATCAATTAGTTGAGTCTTTTTAACTCATCGGAAACTATGACTTTTATTCATTTTAAATAAGTTATTTTTTTAATAACTACTTTACTTCTTTTCAATTGCTCAATTTCGAGCAAAAAGTACACTAGTTTACATAAATTTACAAACAATCAATTCCCAAAAGCTTTTTTTCATGAGGGCTTTTTGGACCTCCAGTGACAGCTTTAAAATAGATTTTTTTTTATTTACTTTTTTATATATATTTTAATTTGTACTTTTTTTTTTTGTATTTTGTGTTTTAAATTTGTATGACTATGTCTTTCTCAATTTTCTACGTCCAAAATATTTCCCTCGATGTAAAAATCGTAGTCAGTGTCCGAGTGAGAATCGTCTTGAAGGTCAACAATAATCGACTACATCAGCAGAGCTTCGTCTGATAGGTGATCCTTTTCCCAATATTTATCTTCAATGTTCTGTGCATATCGTATACATTTTTTCCACAGCTCCGGTGTAATAGTTTGTAAAACTTCCTTGCACAAATCTCTTGTAACAGTGATACTGTTTCCTTTTTCTTCAGCATTTCTTCTATTAATCTTAGTGATATTATTTTTAACATAGCCCCAAATAAGCTCTATAGCATTTAACTCACAATGCGCTACCGGGAGGCATATCAATTTTATGCCAGGGTTGGTATCTTCAATGATGTTTTCAAGTACTTTCTTGGGGATTCCGAAGTGAGGTTTCGCATGCTCAATCAGTGCAGCTTTTGTTAGTTGAGTGTAATCAGTCGAATGAGGTAGTAAAGTAATATTTCTTTTTTGCAGCCAACTAACGATGTTTTTAGTTTACGAGTCTATTTGCTTGTGGCACGGAGCTTGGTCTATTACTATAGCAGACTTGTTTGGCATGAGTCCCACAACACGTTTAAACCATTCGTGAAAGTGTTTTGCATTCATCTCGTTGTGGTAATCAGAGGTCCTCTTCTTTCCAACAAAACAAAGCTCGCCGCCTGGGAGAATTTTACTTCGCTGCCGATGTGTAGTATGATGACTCATTGACCTGATCCAGTTAGAGTCTTGAATACCCCTCGCCAACCATCTACCTCTTGGAGCATCCCTCGATATTGGACAAAATGCCATCCATGGTGCATGGTGTGATTTTGTCCACACCAAGTTTCATCCTTGTAAAATATTTTGTATCCATCTGCACGCAATGATCGAATCTTCCTCAAGAGTTCATTCCTCGAAGCAGCAACGGAAACAGACTCCATCAAAACTGGCTTACAGTTCAGCTTCTTAAATCAAAATCCAATGTCCTTCACGATATTTCGTAATGTCCTAGTTGACATGACTGGAATACTTTCTTTAAGCTTCTGCCTTAATTTTTCAATTGTCGGAATAATTTTTTGCACCTAAAAATCATAGATGTACCTTTGTATCGCTGCCACAGTAATTAATATGTATATAATTTATATATACAGGGTGTCCCGGAACTCTCTACCAATATTTTAGTGCATTGCTCCTGGGTAAGAAACATACTTAAATATCATATTTAAATTGTCCGGAAGTCCTTAGTTACTCACACAGCCGCCATTTTGTTTTTTTTCAGTTATTTTTTTTTTAGAATGGTTAAACATACGAAATGGGAACTTTGCACAAACCTTTATGACAACTAGACAAAGCTACCAAAAAATTATGAAGATTTTTCAAACTCATAAAACAAAATGGCGGCCATTTAAAATTTTTATAAAATCAACGGTTTTTGAGTTTTTTAAGAAACAAAATTTTAAATGGTCGCCATTTTGTTTTATGAATTTGAAAAATCTTCATAATTTGTTTGTAGCTTTGTCTAGTTGTCATAAATGTTTGTGCAAAGTTTCCATTTCGTATGTTTAACCATTCTTTAGAAAAAAATTAATAACTAAAAAAAAAAAAAATGGCGGCTGTGTGAGTAACTAAGGACTTCCGGACAATTTAAATATGATATTTAGGTATGTTTCTTAGCCAGGAGCAATGCCCTAAAATATTGGTAGAGAGTTCCGGGACACCCTGTATAATTAATTTATATATTTGGATAGTAAACTACAAAGGACAGAGCATATTCATTTTCTAAACAAAAAACTTAGTCCAACAAGATATGCTTAGTGTTTTAATTCAGGTTACCTCCTTCGAAGTATGTAAAAATGTTTATTATGCTTATGTATACGTTATGGGGGACAGCCACAGATGTCCACAAAGTTCTTAAAAAACAAATTAAGTCAATCATAAGAACTCTTGCAAATTGCCCCAAAAGAACATCATGTAGACAATTGTTTCAAAATTTTAACTCTGACTTCAATATACCTTTTTGAAATTTAAAAAATGGTTCAAGGAAATTCTGGTTTGTTTCAAAATTATCTTAGTAATTACTCATATAATATCTGAAGACATGAAATTTTTCAATACTCAACTCATAATTTAAAAAAGTATGAAACAAGTCCTTTTCTAGGCTCAGTCTTGTTCTTGTCTTCTTTTTCTGATTTCTTTGGACACTGACTAGCATAGTGTGGTTCCTTACAAATAAAACACTTTATTTTCTTCTTTATAGAATGCCTTTTGCCTTCTGAGAATGAACTTGTGCTAATTCTACTAACCTGTAAGGCTTGTCCATTATCAGAATTCATAGACCTAAGTAGCCTGGACTCAATCAGACGAGTTCTCTCTATAAGCAAATCAACACTTCTGTCTTTCACTGGTATGCTTTCCCACACACTCTTGAACTCAAAGAATTCTTTAGGTAGTGTACTCATAATCCTTGACATCAACACAAATTCTGGCAGTTCTGAAGCTTTATGCTTTTTAAGTTCATCATTCACTTCTCTGATGTTTAACAGCAATCTTGAGATATATTTTATCAAATCTTCTCCATCAGTTATACTAGATGTAAAGAACTGTTCCATTTTTCTTTCTAGTCTCTGACTTGATGATTGTTCATACATACTCAACAGCTTCTGCCACATTTCATGTGCACTATCACAAGTAGCTGTTAATTCTACATGTGAATCATCTAGAACATTTACAATAAGTACCTGAGCTAAGGTGTCATCTTTCTTGAAATCCTTAAAGCTTCTGCTCCTCTGTTTCTTCAGGCTTTGTCCTTTCACCAGTAGTCAGATCACTCATTCCATGATGTCTCAAAACTAATTCCATTTGGCGTTTCCACCTTCTCCATGATTGAGAATTGCGATTCAATAATAAACAACACATGTTCTTGAGGAAAATTAATACCAACTCACAGGCTCACAGGTTTCAAAATATAATTTTTGAAATCCAAAAGGCAGGCATTTTCAACGCTTTCCCTTATTTTATAGTCATGCCGAGAGTCCAAGATTTTACAAAGAGTACTAGAATGCAGTTAAGACGTCAAACTGCCATAGAACCATCTTCCCCCAGACGAGCATCCGGGCTGAAGGTTTCAGCATAATCAATACCGGGTCTTTGCAAACATCCTTTTATGACCAATCTCGCCAGATATTTGTCAACACTTTCATCAAGATTGCGCTTTATTCGGTAGACCCACTTGTTGTTGATAGTCTTCTTATCCCGGAGGGAGTTCGGTCAATTCCCATGCACCGTGTGCATGCATGGATGCCCATTTCTTTGTCCATTGCTGTTTTCCATTCAGCACTATCCTCTGAACTGATGGCTTCAGTGTAACACTTAGGTTCATCGTCAACAAGAAGAACTTCGGCAAAGTTAGGCGAGATGTAATCGTTTGGCCATTCAGGTTGCCTTCTTTCCCGAGTCGAGAGCCTGGTTGCATGATCATTGGATAACTCTGCATCTTCACTATCACTGCTACTTCATGTGTCCTCAGTTCGTATATACTCATCATCACACTTAACTGGGGAACTAGGCTCATCAATAGTCTCTTCAACTTCTTGCCAATCTTCTTTGATGTCATTGGTTTTCTCAATCTTGATGGGCCACTCAACTTTCTTGTCACAATATCCAACAACTTCGTGAAAAACGATATCACAAAAAACATCTCTTCTCTCCGGAAAATAGATTCAATATCGTTCATCGCCATCGTATCCAACCAGGTAACCAACCACAGCTATCCTGTCCATTTTCCACCTCTTCTGCACAGTGACATGGACGTAGCACTTTGAGCTGACGACCCGCAGATGTTTGATCCTCGGCTTATGACCAAACCAGAGCTCGAAGGTTGATTTGTTCTCTTCTCTCTCTCCACAGCACCATTTTGTTCAGGTGTATACGGAGCTGTCAGACGTTGGTTTACACCATATTCTCTGAGAATTTGACGAACTTCAGCGTTGTCAAACTCACCACCTTTGTCACTAAGAAACTCTCTGACGTGATGACCAATTGTGCGAGCTTTAGACTACACTTCACACAACGCTTTGCAATTTTTCCCTTGCAACAAAACAGTATCAGTACCTTGAAAAGTGGTCTTTAATGACGATCATGTATCGGCGACCTCCGAAGGATGGGTCAAACAGGCCGCAAACATCACTGGATAACAACTCACCTGGGGCTGAGGGGCGTTCTTGTGTTCCAAATGGTAGACACTGTTCGCAGATCTCGTAGTTGGCTGGCACTTTGATACCCCTTTCGGATCCTAGCTTTGATCGGACGTTGCATTTATTCATGTGACCCCGGGGCTTATGATATAACTGCAGAATGCGATTGTCTTCTACTGCATTAGCGCAAACCTCAGATGGCTGAACTGTGTGAAATGAGGTACGATACAAAGTTCCACCACAGTTTCGAGTACCTTTGAACACAGTTTGTTCGTTAATAGTATACCGACACTCGGTATTAGTCGATTCAAACCTGCTATTAGGGTTTTGATCATGAGCTGCGAAAATGCACACTAAGTTCCGAGAAACGTCAGGAAAATACCAGACATCGTTGTGTGTGAACGTTTCCACCAGTTTTACATTTCCATAGTTTGCTACTTCAACGACTTCCCTACCAAGAGCTTTTATAACTTCCTTTCCTGCCGCCTTTACTGTTGTGTTTGAGTTTGCTGGAAAAGGTTTGTAATCAGTGAACCAACTCAGATTTGACGTAATGTGCCGCGTAGCACCATTGTCGATCCACCACTGGTCGTTTGTGGTCACGATATTCATATCACTGCTGATTGAAATCAGTGCACTTTGGTTGTCGGTCACGTAAACTTGTGAGCCTATTGTTCTCTTCTGATCAGTGTCACTTGTTTTTGAGCTAGTGCTAATGCCGTTAGCGCGAGCTGGATACGCAGGCTTTCCATTTAGAACACTGACGAATTCAATGACCTTTTCCCAAACTGTATTTGAAGGAAGTGTCACCTTTTGGTTTCCTATTCTTCTTACCACCACTATCTGTAGCACTAAGAATGTCACCAGCTTTTGACGTAGGAGCAACATTACGCTCATGAAGGATCACTGCAGATGAAACATCTTCAAGTTTCTTGCTCTCGTTTGCCTTCATAAGTAAGTAGCTAGACTTGAACGACTCAAAACACTTTGACACAAACAGGAGCTCAAGGAAATCTTCGACTGTTTGGATGTTGCACGTTTTGAGGCCAGCTGCAAATTCACGGTTTTGATTCTTCAATCTTGAAAGCACAGTCGGGGCATCCTCGGTATCTTCACATTCCATACTGAAGAAATTCAAACACTGACGGAATAACTGGTCTTCTGCTTTGTTATCGAACTGCTCGACCAAAATGTCCCACGCTTCCTTGGCTGATTATCTTCCAGAAATACGTTGATGTAGATCATCACTAATGCAGTGAGAAATTACTATTTTTGCCTGTGTCGTGGATTTGTTGAATTTATCAAGTTTTTCCTTTTCAGCTTTAGTCGGAGGCTCAGAGAGAGTAAAAAGTAAACATAGTATAAAATAGTTAATATAAGACCAGCTGAAACAGTAAATTAGGAAAATAACTTTAAACATTAGGCTTTTCTCTCTTTCCCTCGACGATATCAACCGCGTCAAACAACTAGAACGTCCAACACTCGATCTTTCCACATAGACCAATCTTCTGCTCCTTTCAATGGTTTTATACCTTTCACGGATTCCATTTGTAGAGCTGGACGAACTCGATCGAAAGATATTCCAAAGAAATACTCGTGAAACAGAAAATCTTGTCAGAATAAATTGTTCTTACCGTGTACGTGGTAGACTAGATTTCCCAACACTGGTATGTACATAAAACATGGCTAGCGACCATAACCTCTTGAATTATTCTCCCAAAGTGGAGGTGTTTAAGAAAAATCTAAGTTATACTACGATGAAAAAAAACTAATTTAAACTATAAAACAAGCAAACGTATTTCTTATCAATGTTAACAAGACATGGAACAAATTTGGACAAACAAAACAGACAGCTGATAATAAATAAACATTTACATCATCTGTAGTATGACTATGACAAATAACAAAAGGCAGGCATTTTCAACACTTTCCCTTATTTCATAGTCATGCCGAAATTCCAAGATTTTACAAAGAGTACTAGAATGCAGTTAAGACGTCAAAGTGCCATAGAACCATCTTCTTAACAGCTACAATGGACAGTAATGAGCGAACAACCTCCAGACAAGCATCCGGGCTGAAGGTTTCAGCATAATCAATACCGGGTCTTTGCAAACATCCTTTTATGACCAATCTTGCCAGATATTTGTCAACACTTTCATCAGGATGGCACTTTATTCGGTAGACCCACTTGTTGTTGATAGTCTTCTTATCCCGGAGGAAGTTCGGTCAATTCCCATGCACCGTGTGCATGCATGGATGCCCATTTCTTTGTCCATTGCTGTTTTCCATTCAGCACTATCCTCTGAACTGATGGCTTCAGTGTAACACTTAGGTTCATCGTCAACAAGAAGATCTTCGGCAAAGTTAGACGAGATGTAATCGTTTGGCCAATCAGGTTGCCTTCTTTCCCGAGTCGAGAGCCTGGTTGCATGATCGTTGGATAACTCTGCATCTTCACTATCACTGCTACTTGATTCAGTTCGTATAGGCTCATCATCACACGTAACTGGGGAACTAAGCTCGTCAATAGTCTCTTCAACTTCTTGCCAATCTTCTATGATGGTTTTTTCATTCTTGATGGACCTCTCAACTTTCTTGTCACAATCTCCAACAGTTTCGTGAAAAATGATATCAAGAGAAACTACAACATCTCGTCCCTCCAGATAATAGATTCAATATCGTTCATCGCCATTGTATCCAACCACAGCTTTCTTGTCCATTTTCCGCCTCTTCTGCACAGGGATATGGACACTTTGAGCTGACGACTCGCAGATGTTTGATCCTCGGCTTTTGACCAAACCAGATCTCAAAGGGAGATTTGTTACGGTGATCATCACTGACGCACTGAGAAATTAATATTTTCGCCTGTGTCGTCGATTTGTTGAATTTATCAAGTTCTTCCTTTTCAGCTTTAGTCGGAGGCTCAGAGAGAGTAGGCTTTTCTCTCTTTCCCTCGACGATATCAACCGCGTCAAACAACTCTAGAACGTCCAACACTCGATCTTTCCACATAGGCCAATCTTCTGCTCCTTTCAATGGTTTTTTTACCTTTCACGGATTCCATTTGTAGAGCTGGACGAACTCGATCAAAAGATATTCCAAAGAAACACTCATGAGACAGAAAATCTCGTCAGAATAAATTGTTCTTACAGTGTACCTAGTGGACTAGATTTCCCAACACTGTTATGTACATAAAACGATGCTGGCGACCATAACCTCTTGAATTATTCTCCCAAGTGGAGGTGTTTAGAGAAAATCTAAGTTGTACTACGATGAAAAAACTAATTTAAACTATAAAACAAGCAAATATATTTCTCATCGATGTTTAAGAGACATGGAACGAATTTGGACAAACAAAACAGGCAGCTATTAATAAATCAACATTCACATCATCTGTAGTATGTTTATGACAAATAACAAAAGGCAGGCATTTTCAACAAACACGCCATGAGCGCTATACTGCCTTTGAGCCTCAATTGCATTTCCATCACAGTAACCATAGACAGATCATTTATGCATATTCCTGATTTCAAAAGGACATCTTAAGATCATTGCCAATGAATAAATGACCAAAACCCACTAAAAATTATAATTTGTAAGTGATAGATTGTCTCATGATTAGGTAGGATGTAATCAGATATTGGGAAATTCTTTTAAATTATCCTTAAATGATACGTTTATCAACTGATCCTGATTGAAGACAATCTTGATAGAAATAATCTCAAGAGCTAGATTGATAAAATCCCGTTTTAAAATACAATAACGCTAGGCTTCTGAGACTGGCTTTTGATATACTTGAATGATATACTTCATATAAACACATGCTGACAAATCATTCTCAACTTCTAGTTCCGTTAGGTTAGGATTAACAGTAATGGCAAAAAATAAAATTTGAATAAGGATAATTAAGGACAAAACAAAGTCTCGGTATAAATATTTATTTAGATACTCTTCTTTCGAGCTTTTGCAATATAAAATTACTTAAAAAACCATGAAACAAGAGAAAACTATAGTTGCGGACTCTGAAAATTTACATTTAGGTTATTTATTTACAAAATTAATTAGCAAGTCCCACTACTTAATGACTTTAGAACAGAATGTTTACATGGTAAAAGGTCAAACCTATTAAAAATTAAATATTATTATTAAATTATATATACTGAAACACACTATTAACACAACTAAGACTTTGCATTTTGTATATACAAAACAATACTATTAACAATTTTTACATTCTGTAAGAATGTATTTGTACCTATTTCAAGCACTGCAGGTATAATACATTTAGATTTTTAATTTTTATTTTCATTTGAATCAGTAGGTTTAACTTTCAACTTCATTTACTGATTCAATATGTTAATAAAATTTGATGAGACTGACTTAATTCTTTTCACAAGCTAACGTTCTCACAAACGAAATTAACTTAACACAAATCAAAACAGACTCGGTGGAGTAAATTGTCCTACAGCTACAAACCTTAGTTCTAATAAAAACTACAAAACCAATTTAATCTTACTCCTGACCCCTGGTGTTTGACAAGTAAATCTAATCTACTTAACAACAAATAACAATAGGTTGCTGTTAAGGAACAGGCCATGAACAAGATATTTGAACGAGTAAGGACCCTAAGAACTGAGCTGGAACCCTTTGGAATTTAATTAAAAAAGAAGCGGGGGCGACTGGTCTAGTGGTAGAGCACGCGGCATTAGAGGCCGAGTTCCAAGGTTCGAATCCCATAAATCACCAACAAATTGTATTTATGTGATAATGCTGGACCCTCTAAGACTAACCTGAAGTAATGTGTAAAACAGTTCCGGACTGGTGCCTAGCATCCTAGGATGTGAAGGTGGGATATAAAATACCCTCGCCGCAGCAAACCTGCAGACTAAGCGAATTTCCATTTGCCTGATTGGCTTTACACCAAAATGTCTCTTTAAAAATATCACATATATTTCCTAAATAGAATTAGTTTAACAACTAGTACTAAAGGCCAAGTCACACCGAGCTCGCTACCACGGCGGGAGCGAATTTTGAAAAATCACTCACCATGTTATCAAATGTGCCAAGTTACACCGCAAGTTACGCCTGCAGGCGTGCAGTAGTGTCCACCATGCCTGCTTGCTGAGCGATTTTTTGAGACTAACACGCCAGAGTTTTGTCTGGCGCATGCGGAAAGGTGTATCTCAAATGGCCAAGCTATTTGAAAGCTTAAAAATAATACAGTTTTAAATTAAATTTAACATGTTTCTTTTCTTTGATGATGTGTGTTGTTTAGTATTATTGCTTCCCTACTATGTAATCAATTGTTTCCGTGATATGTTTATTACCAGAAAAAAATCATGGTTGTTTATCATGCAAATTTAATGTTTCCTATCAAATCCTATCAAAACAACAAAAACTGTACAATCAATGTAAACTTGAACTTTTAATAGAAGGCTTTGAAAAATTTAGATTAGTTTTAAAACTTTCTTTAAAAAAACTAAAAGTGGGTGATTTACCCTCAACCATATTGAAAATGTGTTCACTACAAACAAAGTCTAAATTATAAAAAAATAATAATTACAGTTCACTTTTTAATGTACAATATACTACTAAATAAATAGGCCTAACATTGCTTCTTAAGCACTTTACTACTTAAAAAAATAAATAAAACAGAAAATTTACATGGCATACTAAATAGGTAAGATGTGTTTCTTATGTAAAACAAATTTTAACGAAACCACCTCAAATCTCCCGCCGCGGACACGGTACTTTTGGTGTGACATGGCTTAAGGTAAAACGTCCATGCGAGGTACTCCTGCGGTGGATGTCGGTGTGGCATGGCCTTACGGTTTGCTGCAACAGGGAGGGTAACATTTTTTTTATGTTAACAGTTTAGTAATAATTAAAAACATTTTCCAAATTTGATCAAAATATGTTCATAAACAAGCAAACTACAATAGTTTACATATTCTTCATAAGAATAACAGGGGAATTTTAAATTAACAATTTTTTGGAATTTTTTCCGTAGCCATTAGGGGCACAATAACCGTAATAATACGGTTAATAGAGTAGGGGGTCCAGGTCTTACCATGAGACCTACGGTAATAGCTTATTCCATAAATGGGAAATTCACTAAAATAATCATTCAAATAGAAGATCCGGGAGGCAGTATCAAAAAAATGTTATGAGTTAGCTTATCCTCCCAAAATGTAATACAGTGCATTTTAAATTTTTTTATCAAATTTATTCTCTTCTACGTTTTTATTTATTCTCTTCTGAATTGTTACTCCATTGTGATACACCCTTAGAGGTGTTTGGCTTTAGCATTATTTTTTAGATCAAAAAGCTTTGGTAAAAAAATAAAAAAAACTTGCTTAACTTTTTAAAATAAATGAATATGCCAAATGTATTGTTGAGCTGTCATTACATTAAATAAAATGGTTTCTTCAAATTTGAGTTATTTATCATTCATAAACTTGTACTAAAAGGTAATCACGCATCAGATCTCTGGGTGGAAACTACATAATGCTACAAACCAAACAACATATTGATTTATTTTAAATAAATTCTAGGTTTACTCACATTAAGTGTATGTACTTTAAAATGTTGACTTTATTTTTTTTAAGTATTAAAAAGCTTTAAAGGTTTACTCCTGATTCTCATGTAGTTGAGTTGAATTATTTAGTGACAAGCAGGATGTGCATTCACATTAGAACCATTTCCCACCTCCATAGCTTTTATTTCGCACAGACATATCAAAATTTATGTTAGATCTAATTAAATGTATGCATTAAAAGTAGGGGAAGAGTGGTGGGAAATGCTTTGTCTTCCTTGCACTGCCCTTCCTTGAGGTCATACTAATTGATACAACTTTTACAACTGGACAAAAAATTGTATTAATTTGAAGAGAAATAAAAGTACTGTATTAAAACGTTTAATTATGATACAAATAATGTTGCAATTTAAAACAGTTACAATTTGATCTAAGGCCGTACCTAATAAATCAGTCTTTTATTGGTAGATACGTTTTTGGAACAAGAAAAAGATAATTTAGTGTAGAAAGTACAACAATTTGCAATTAAGCAAATTATTGGTAATTTAATAATATGCAGTTTAAGCAATATAAATTAAAAAATTCCTGATAGTAAAAAAAAAAAAACTATTATAAATGCTTACTTCTAAAAGCAATTCTCTTGTTTGCAAGTACGGTATATATTCTCCTACATGCAACTTTTCTGCAGATATTTAACATAACAAAGGCAGTCATAACAAAATCAATATTTAACAGTACAAAGTTTAAAAAGTCTGTACTACTGTTTCACAACAGACTCGCTAAAGTGATAGTTTCTAATGACTAACAATCGATTCTTAACAACAACACATAAATAGTAACATTTTGTACAAACTTCATCGAGAATATTTTAATGTCATTTTATAATATTCTGAATGAACCAACTCTATACACAAGAAATACTTAAATAAATAAAATATAGTAGTCGATTGATGTGACTGGCGTTGATCTGTACATGAATGACAGTGGCTAACATAGTTCAGCCACACACATACTCTGCTGGGGTTGATTTAGGTCTGAACCTGCAACATGTGATATGGCACAATAGACGAATGTTATTATATAAATAACTGAAATATAGTTTGCATCTAGTTGTTTTTCTTACTGGATTCACTAAAATTCAAGCCAGTTCCCACTAATATGGTAATATCAAGCTCGTAAAAATATTCTAAGCATTGTAAAAGAAAATGTACGTTTCACCAAATAAAGATCACGATCTGTGATTGATTTTTTTAGGTTTAAGTCGTCAACCACTATTGTCAATTTAAACCAATTGACCAATAGAATTTATTTGAATTTAAAATTTTCACCATCTCCAGTTGGCAGACATGAATGGAATAGAGTTTGAGGATGGTGTTCTGTATTTTGCCCAGACTGTGGAAGAAATTCTAGAATTCACTGTAGGAAGATTTTCATGATTTTTTGAGTGAATGGAATATGTTCTTGTTTTTGCCATGAATACAGAAGACAACATTTTGTCAAGACTGAAGTAGATGTGCTCAATATTGCGGTGACTGCGGAAGACGTTTATGATTTCACTGCTATATTGATGAGTTAACGACAATGTGTTGTATAAACTGTTTGAAATATTCCAATTGATATATTTTTTAAATAAATACTTTCCAAAGGTACCCAATGTTTGCTAGAGATCTGAGGGTGAAAATGTTTGACCTGCCTTGAAGTAAAAAATGTGGCATGCAGACTTTTAGTAAATGGTATAAGAATATTATTTGGTTTTAAATTTACGGATTTGAATTATCAAAATAGTACTAGGATTCCCAGAGTAGATTATCTAAAAAAACTTACCTACTATTGCAGTCAGCGCTCATGCATTAGCTTTGTTTACCCAGGATTAAACATGAACTACTTGTTCATTATCTTGTTAATCTTGATATAGTAACGGTTGACTGGCTAAAAGTCAATAAAACTATCAGTTTTCTCACCCTCCCTCCAATCTCAAGTGACAATGTGTTTACTTCTCTGGTTTTATGGTATTTCTGTGACATGTCCCCCCTATTTTAAGGTATGTATTGTTAATTAAAGCTTGAATCTTTCATTCTTTTCTCCCTCTCTCCTTTGAACCCACCTTGATGACAGTGTCAGTTGCTGAGGCAGTTCTCTTGACTCTCCAGTACGTGGCCACGGGATGGTGTGGCCGGAGGTGGGGAGGGGTTGAAGGCTGTGGCCAGAGGGAAGCGTTGGTGACACAGGGTCATGTACTCACTGGCAGCATCCCCACAGTCACCAAACTCACCCTTCCGTAGAGAGTTGAGCACTGCTGTACAAACCTGCACCAATACAATCACACCATTAACTACTAGGCCAACTTGTAGACAATATAAATGTGAAAAAATTACAATTATCATTACTGAAAACAATATATATTTCATTAGTCCCTTAATTATCCGGAATAATAGAGGGAAAATAATATTTTTTGTAAATTGTATATAATGTTACGTGCAATTGATGTTATTGCTACTAAATTTTAATAGATATCGCTTTTGGCATCAACTGTCAACAATCGATTCTCTTTACTGATCCCAATGTCCATGAATCTGAGGTAGGCCCTGTTGAGAATTTAGATTCCTACTGGAAAGCTCCTGGTTTTTTTTTCTTCTCATCCTCTCTCTTTAGAAAAACACTCCTTGCATGTTTTCTTCATTGTTTGGTTTTGTTCATAGTACTAATTGTTTTTAGTTTAAATTCAGTAAACCGCCACACATAAAATTAAGGAAGGAGGGGAAGGAGTCCTACTAATTGATTAGCTGATATGATAAAGCATGGCTTTGCAGTTGTCTGCAGGACAACATCACTGTGCTCACGATGCAATACCAAAATAACATAGCTAACAATACAGTAGCTGGTATAACACTTTTGTATTAACTAATGGCAAGACATAAAAACTAGTTGGACATGTTCTAATTTTTAAAATGTTATAAACATGTGTTTATATGCTACCAGTTTATGGCCAGTGTAAGGCTCTTTTCAGGCTTGTAGCCCCCCGTAATCATGGACCCGGGGAGCTGAGGCAAGAGATATTAATCAAAACCATAGGTAGCATTAAATCAAGGCAATCGCTGTAGAAGAGTGAGATTTAAATATTCAACTCACATCAAGGTGTATGTAATTTAAACTAAGTTTGGTTTAGTACAAGTTTAATTTAAGGATGTAAATATAATTTATATTTTAAAATATAAAAACTTATTGGCTGGTAGATTACCGGAACGGTAACTCCTTCCATCGTAGAATCCAAGTTAGTCACAAGTTTAATGGCAGTTGCTTGACTTGAAGGATCCAGTAAATACATCATTTTCGCACCTAGAAATAATATAAACATGGAATGAAAATTTAAAATCGTACTAACCAAATATTGTAATATAAATTATAGACACAATGGTATGGTTTACTTTTCAAAATCAGGTAGTTTCAGTTAATATTTAACAATATTTAATTCAACAACAAGGGTTGATTGGTTTTAATTTCAGAGCCATAAGGGAAATAATGTACTCTATGAAGTTAAGCAATCAATTAGAGTTGCTTGTGTATGAAAGCTGCACACACTAACTTTTTTACATTATAAACACTGGTCATACCTGCTGACATACTCAATTTACACTGATCTATGCAGCATAAAGTTCCTTGTTCATGACGCAGCATCTGTGTGAAGGATCCCGCATATATCAGTGTAAATAGAGTATAAATAGTGTATATAATGTAAAAAGTGTAATGGGTCAAAATTATAGAGGGGTTAGGATTTTATATCTATTATGAAATAATGAATTTATTTCCTCCAATAAAAACACACAATGGATACAAATATGACTTGGAAATTAACTTATTTATTCATCAGTAGGCCTATTCCTTACCTGGTTGGTGATAGTGGTAAACCTATCTTGGTAAGGAAAATAGCTGTAGTAGGCCGTCTGAGGCCTAGCCTAGGGTTGAAGTAGGGATAACCCCTTTTTTTTTTGGCAAAATCACTAAAGACACTGTTTTTGGTGTATAAAAGTCATGAAATAACATTGTTGTGTACAAAACAGGCGATGAACTGTTTTCGTGTAACCCCCACACCTAATATAAACCTTTGGGAAGAATGCCAAAGTTGTTGTGCAGGCTAGGGTGGTGAATTGCGATCACGAATATAATATCACGTAACATGAGTACACTGTGTTGAACACTGTATTACTACACTATGTCGAACATGGGTGGAAATTATACGTCTTTGTTTATATCAGCAACGATACTAAAGTTCCGCCGAATAATTTCACAGTCGGCGCAGGTAAATAACATCATAACCTCTACCCATAGCCGACTGCCCGGGCGTTGTGAATCGTGACAGCGCCAGGGTTTGTGAACTCGTGACGTCATCGATCATCAGGGAATGGATCAGCTGATTCCCTATCCCTAAAGGATTAGAGAGGGGGAAGGAAGGGAGATCCCTCGTGGGCTAGGGATGTAAGGAACATTCTCATCCTATGTTTAACAGAGTGAAGTCGTGATTTAATAGACCAGTCGAGTGCTTTTGCTGGAGTTCTTGAGTCTATAGTGGGTTTGAGTGAAAGCACCTGGAGTTTATAGGTAACTCACCGTATATTTTTAATAGTGCTTACTATCATTTTCAGAGTATTTAGTTAGTGATAACCCTCACTTTATTATCTTAATCATAAAACTCACGGTAGGGCCTTTGTTGGGTGTTTGAACCTGTATAAGTCCGTGTTAGCGCATGCTAGGGCTTGTGTGGGTTGGTGATAAAGGGTAGGAGGTACGGTGAGCTTGCCAGCATGAAGATAGAGACTATAAACTGTGAGGTTGATGAAACTGCAAAAATAGTTTATTTAGGAATTTTATTTGTTGAAAGAATTTTAATTATTTCAAAATTTAATTAGATATTACCAGGTGTGATGATGGTACAGTAGCGCTGTTTGTTATCGGTACAGAGTTCACACCTGATTTACACTACATTTTTGTGCATAAAAATCTGTACCCATGGTAGGATGTCAAATTAATTGTTTTAGTATCTGAACCCTGGAAACTTCCCAGCACGCCGACTTGAGCGATCCGCTGGCGAGAGTTGGTGACGTCTTTCCCGCTATAACTGCGATATAGGGTATATATTCCTAGCGAGAAAATCGTCACATTACAAAAGAAAATTCAACAAACCTCCCTGAAACATATGGAATGACTGAGGTGAAATATAATGGAGAAAAAACAGAATTCTGCAAGAACAAAGGCTACAAAAGAAGGTAAATAATTCAATTTCCGAGTTATTGTCACTCATTAAGACTATAGGACTATATGTTCAGTCCTTAGCTGTTGGGTGATTCATTTCTGTAGCATTTACCTTGGAAGACAGCAGGGAGGTAGTGAGAGTGAGTGTCCAGGAACTGTTGGTTGATGGTGTGAGGAGATCGGTCACCAGTGATGGGTCCCAGACATGTCTCCAGCACCTGCTTGCATGGCTCTGACAGTCTGTCCTGAGCCAGCCACTCCTTATACCTCAGCGCCAGTCTGATGACACAGCTGTGGACCTCTGGATGGTCAGGGGCCAGTCGGTGCATCCGCCTCACACTCTGCAGCATCAGCAGCGCTTTGTCTACAAACAACAACAACTGTTCAGTAATGTTGCCGTCCTGCACCAGCCACTCCTTATACCTCAGGGCCAGTCTGATGACACGCCACAGCCCTGTGGACCTCTGGATGGTCAGTGGCCAGTCGGTGTATCCGCCTCACACTCTGCAGCATCAGCAGCTAGGCCGTTGCAAGACGGCCTAATCCTATTACGCTTTCCCACGGAATTCAAACCATCTCAATCTGCGATGCTGTTTCCTTTACCAGAAAGACAACTCCTTAGACTGCAAAGCTTTAATCAAGCCTAATTATTGGTTAATCCCATGAAAATGCTAATAAACTAAGCTTACTTTTCAACAATAATTTTAGTCACAAAGGCCTTTAACTCAGGACCCACAATATCTTGAGGCTCTAAGGTTGAAGGTGATTTGCACAGAATTGGATTTGAAGCTTCGTAATAATAGAAAATTATTAAAGGGCGTTTAAGATTCTTAAGTAAAAATCCTTGAATTGACAAACATACTCCGATCATCCAATCATCTTCCGATATACCAGAATATGATAGGATTTCCTAGTCAGGGCTCACCTTTTCTGGAGTATATCTCAAATGCCATTAGGTGGGTCTCCAGCAGGTTGGAGCACAGGGATTGTAGGGGCTGCAGGAACTTGATGGCTTGGTCTAATGGATCGTCCACCTGCAACAGATTTGTGACAATGTAGCTCATACATCAAACTAATATCCAAAGTTATAAGTAGCGCATTTCCCATATTACTCTACCCTACCCTACACTAGGTATGAGGAATGTTTGGCATTACCTTGGCTAGTTTGTCTGGCACCAGCTCATCCTGAGGAGGTGCGTCAGGCTCAGTGTCCGCTTGTCTGTTCTTGTGTTGCTCTCTTTTCTCAGCTACTGTTGCTGCTGCTGCTTTCTCCAGTTCAGCCTTTCTTTTTGCTTTTCGTTGCTTGTTACGTAGCTTCTTCAGCTCTGAAGGTGCCAGGTTTTCTAAAGTAACATTCAAACTATTAGGACTCCAATTAAAACATAAAAAGAATTTTACATATTTTATAGTTAGTCAAGAAGCTGTGGTATCTAGTGAGAGGTGATTCACTGTTTTAAAAACTGTGTTATTAAATTTATTTCCACCATTACTATTCTAAATGGTCCCAGCCTCAATGCTCGATTACTATATCTTCATCATACTGACAAATTTAACCTGTGGAGATCATCACTTGTACTAACTATGAATCACTTTCTAATTTCTGTGGTCTAAGGGCTCAACCCCAATTAAAATTTAATTAGTGTGAATGGAGAAAAGGGTTAGGTGGTAGAAAAAATGAGGAGCATAAGGGATGAAGGAAGTTTGGAGTTTGTGGTATGTACAAATTTGCTGGTGTAGGCAGGCATAGGTCTATAATCAGTTTTGTTTGAGTAATATAAATAAAGGAAAATTCGGAAATTTTGTATGCCAAACGAGATGCAACTGAGAGAGAGTTGCTCAGCTGATAGTGGACAACAGGACCCTGGTAACCTTAAGGCTCAGTATTGGGCCCACTTTTTTTTCTTATTTACATTAATGATCTTCCAAAAGCTATTAATAAAGAACTAATTCTTTTTGCCGATGACACTACTGCTTTGATCAAAAATAATAATACAGCTGAAATGTTTTCTTCTCTGCAAAGTGTGGTAAAGGACATGGAGCAATGGTTTTTAGAAAATGGGTTAAAATTTAATGTTGAAAAAACAAATATTATTAAATTTTCTACTAGACACAAAAATATGGAAAACTGTTCCTTTAATTTAATTGAAGCTCATAAATTCTTAGGGGTTTACGTAGATGACACAGTTAAATGGGATTCACATTTGAATTATTTACGTAACAAAATTAGGTCGATATCATCTTTATTCATACATTTAAGGGACTGTGTTTCTATTGAGACACTTAAAGTAGTTTATCATGCTTATGTGGAGTCAGTGTTAAGATATGGCATAATTTTATGGGGTCAAGCTACTGGTATTAAAACTTTATTCAGGTTACAAAAACGTATTATTCGTATTATTACCAACTCTCATCCACGCAGTTCTTGTAAGAAACATTTTCAAAATTTAAGAATTCATACATTAACGGGGTTGTATATTCTAGAATTATTAAATTACATACATTCAGTTAAAAATGAGCTACCAGAAACAATACATTTTAATCACAGGTATGAAACCCGAAATGAAAATATATTTAGACTCCCCAGACACCGTTTGACCCTATATGAAAAATCTCCATTGTACGCTGGGCTGAGATTGTACAATGTGCTTCCGCCATGCTATAAGTCATTAAGCAAAACCAAATTTAAAGATACAATAGATAATTTTCTTATTGACAAGGCTTTTTTTACTTAATTGAAGATTTTTACAGAACTACAATTTAGAAATTTTTTTTTAAGTGTTTAATTTTAAGTTAAAAGTTTTAATGTTAAATATTTTATGTATGGATTTAATTTTGACAATGCACCTATTCTAAATGTTATGACATGTATGGAATGTTTTGCAAATAAAGTCTATGTCTATGTCTTAGGCCCAATTCACACAGAACGGACGTTGGGCGGAGACGTGGCACGGACGATGCAAGGACATATGTCCTTTCTCGCCTTTCCATGTAAACAAATTGGTCAATGCACACACAAGTGACGTGACGCGGGCGGCCGCCCTCCCGCCACCGCCACGTCGCTTCGGCGTGTGTATTTTGTGTTCAGAGTAATGGTGAGTTGTTTCTTGTTCTTTTCACTATGCGAGAGGACATTGAATTCAATCACAGATTTTGTGAGAAGGTTGAAAAATTCCCTTGTTTGTACGATCACAGTCGTACAAACTAACTAATCAACAGAGTCGACAGAAATAACTAATTCGGTTGACACAAATAACTAACAGATATAGTCAAAAACCAAAACGTCTAGTCTACATACAAGTTTTCTCGCCACTGTACCGTCCCTTCTGTGTGCATTGTACATGCCACGTCTCCGCCTGACGTCCGTTCTGTATGAATTGGGCCTTAAACACACAGAACCGTGACGGTTCTGTACTCATATTTTTTTATCACTTATCAGGTTTCTTGCGGCTGGTTGGAGTTTAATAGATACAACGATATTTTGATATAGACTTGAATAAAATGGCACACCGTCTGAACCTTCCATTATTATCTGCCCGAAGAATATTACTACTCGACCATCGACCTGCTGTTCCTATTCAGGATAGTAAACAACCCACTGGCCTGCTGGACTGTTCCGAGATCCTCCATCAATTGGATTTCAACGTTCCACGTCACGCTCGCCGACATAAACTGTTCTCCAAACACTTCCTACCAACCATCTACAGTTACCAAAGCAAAATACCAAGGATTATGAGAGTCTGGAGTGAGGTTTGTGCTGACTTGGACTTTTTTGGTTCTACCATTGAAACTAGAAGAGAACACTAAACTTAATTTGTTGATATCGTTATTAAGTCATTGTTATAGTTCTGTTATTATATTGTGTTATATTGTTATTGTATCAGGCTATTTTTGACCAAATTTATTGTTATTTTGTTATATAATTATGTTATTACCTATTATAGTTTTATATATATGTATATATTATTATTATAAGTCTATATTATTATAATTCTATGTTATTAATTGTTGTTAAAATTAAAATTATGGCCTTTCCTTTGATTGCATCTCAATTAAAATGAGATTAGGATTCAATCAAACTGCTACACACAGTTACATAGTTAAGGGAATTTATGCAATGTTTTGTTGGATGTTATTTTTGCTTTGTCAAATTACTAATGCAAATCTGGAAGAATCAATTTAGACTGTAATGGATATTGTTTTTTCCTGCCATCAGATTTGTAATTTTTTTATTGGAGTATCACCGTTTGTTAATAAATAAATTAATAAAATCATGAGGGGTCTAAACTTGAATGTATGTTTATTTTTTTTCATCAAAACATTTTGAATTGCCCATTAAGGTTTAATTGCAAACTAATATACTTGTGACGCTTAGCGCCACTATTTTATATAGTGCCACACAACGAAATCGCTGGCCTTGCGATCAGTGCGCCTCCCTCGGTCTGCCGCTTGCTTTTTTTCTGAGAAACGTCAAGGAGCTACGGAATCGAGATTTCCTCCGTCTTGTCTCTCGCCGCCTGTCGTTCGATTAGCTGCCGAACTCCATTTTCCCATCTCACCATGCCGTTATTAAACCAGGATAAGTCCTTAAATATTAAGTAGTGCTAAGATTAAGATGACAGGCTAAGATAACAATTTAAGGGGAAGCCGGCAGGGTTTCGCCCCATTCGCAAAAATGTAAATTCCAATAATTATGATTACCTCGCAACAACAAGGTAATCATTCCTAGACATGCAATAGTCACCACGTTGAAAATTTAAGTATTAAATCATTCAGGAATCGCCTTAGGAATCTAAATTTGTTCAATAAAGAGTTAGGGAATGTACCACAGAATGCATAGCCTAGTTTCCGCCCTAGTTCCCACCAGAAGGCTACATATTGGAGTTTATCTCCAAAAACAGTTTTGAAAAAGGTCTCTGTTACAATATCATATTAAAAATGGTTACAAATATACAAAACTTCTTTACTTGAACACACAAATAATTTATGAATTATTTATACTACCAACATGTGTTCTAAAAAAATTTGCTGATAAGAACTTTCCAAAAACAAAAAAGAAAACATATAATCAGACCACCACAAGCAGCTACTGGTCCACACATGGCAGAACCTCTTCTGGCAAGTGATTGAGTAAAAAGTAGTTTTTATGCTTTCATTTGATCTACACTAGTAAATTACAGTGTAAGAAACATAAAACAGCAGCATACTTTGCTCTGATGACAGGTCATTAAAAGAGGTTGTAAGTCAGCTGCAAACTATCACCTATAATCAGATCAAGGTTGTAGTTTTCTCCAGTATTGGATGTTACAAAACCAAGAAGATACTATAGATTCTAAATATAGCCTATAATCAATATCTCAGAAGATTTACAAAATATACTTATTAGCCTATTGATGTTCCCAGAGGCTGAAAACACCATTTGTTCAAATTCATATATGTTTGTGTGTCCATAAGCACAATAACTAATTGTTAAAATCTGCTGTTTATGAAATTTGCTTCAAGTATGTAAATCTTTGTTTATTCAAAAGAGTTCACGAACAATCATGATCGAACTATGGGAACAGGGTTTTATGGGGTAAAAATTGGTTTTTCTTATTTTTTACAAACATTTTTTAGTTTCATTCTAAACTATTTTGAAGAGCTTATAAGTTAAATTTCAAATAACTAAGTATACTAAGCATTATTTTACGTCTAAAAGGTACAAATAAAATTTAAAAAACATGTGACTAGCTTAGCCTTATTTTACAACAAAAATAAGTAAATTTCAGCTATTCAATCATTTTTTTGTCTTTTTAGTATGTTTGTCTTTTTTAGACAATTTTTAACTTGGTGTTCAAAAATAGTAATATGTTTAATATGTTTTAATATGTATAAATATGATAATAAGAAACTTTCTAAAAAACTGATCCCTTAAGTTAAGTGATGGCTTCGACATTCCCTTCCTTTCAAAATTACATTTCTTTCAAAACAAAAATCATGAAAATCAGCCAAATGGTTGATTTTGAACTGTGAATTAAAAAACAATCTATAACTTTTTATATACTATTATATATGATTGTAACCTGATTGAGGTAAGTAAATCAATCTTCAAGGTATGGATTATCAACAAATTAATTTGGCCTATTGTGTTATTCATTTTGAATGCTCAATTTGCACATGGTCCTCTTGTGCTTATTTACTAGACACATTGTTTGTTCAGATTACTAAAACTAATTTTGTGTTTTATAGAGATTAGGTAACTTTTACTGTAGACTGTTACCATTACTTGGACTGTTTACGGTTAGTGATTTTAATGTGATAAGCCAGTTGTGAATGTTGCGTCACAATGATAGCAAACTGGTCCATGTCCAGCCTGTGGCCGTGTGGCCGTAGGAGTCGCTATGTGTTCAACGGTGCCTTAGGAATTTGTCGGTGGTGGGGGGTTGGCTGTTGGCCGTAATAATAATGACGCCATCGTTCTTTGTTCCTCTCAATAGTCAATTCTCAATCCTCTGTCTCTGTGCTAGTGCTTACAGTCAAGTCAGTCTCATAGTTGGTGTCTCATAGTTTTTTCGCACTACAACTGCGACTACAACGTTACCGACACCGAGATTCAAGATTGAACTAATTATTAAAGAATTCAAGTTTTTGTTTTTAGAGGATCAAACAAAACACCAAATACCAAGGGAGTTTATGTTTTATCTATGACCAAACCCATCCATGGTAAGTAATTTAACCTATTATTCTCCTAGTACCTAATAGCCAGTAGTTAACAAATTCTGAGAATGAATTCCATGTCTTTTCCTTTTGACAGCTACCTAGGCCTACTTAATATAATTAAATAACTAGCTATTGTATAGTCAATGCTATTACCCACGGGCTTCACCCCGTTTGACTTCATTTAAGTATTATTGGGTACACTTCCATATCTGTTGGCACAAACAACCGAATGAGTAATTTTGATTATTCGATTGTTTATTTCAATATATCGTTTGGTTAGGTTAACCTTACCTTACTAACCAAACGATATATCGATCAATATTTTCATTCGGTTGTTTGTGCCAACGGATATGGAAGTGTACCCGTATTATTCATCATCATCCTTTTTTATTGATTTTCCCTCAAGGGGTACATAAAAAAATACATTTACAAAATACAATTACATGCAAAATAACCAAGGTTGGTAAATAAGTTTTAAATAAGTTGATAACAAACTTATTCATAAGTATTAATAAAACTAGGCCTAGGCCTATTGATTGGTTAAGTTTTAATACAGAATACAGCCTAAGAATAACATACAAATAAGTACAGCTGAGGTATATTTAACATTAGGTTAGTTATAATTAGGCCTACTCATTAGCCTACCGTACTAGCTTAAAGTAACCAGACCCAAATGTGAAAGATGTGCTGGCATAACTTAACATTAATAAATTAAGTTATGAGTAACAAAAGTTTATGTAAGTTAGGCATACTTGTCACCACAAAGTAAATTACCTTGACTCAATTGGAACTGCTGAAGCCCTAGTAATTTCGGGTCGCCGGAAGACTGCTCCCCGGAAAACTTCCCCCCCCAAGCAGGTTCCTACGTCATATTGACGTGAGAGACCGGGGGGTGCAGTTTTCCAGTTACGGACACTCAAAATTAGTTGTCAAACAGTTCCAATCCAACCTAACCTAACCAACCAAACTTGCTGTAACATTTCGAAAATCTGTTTTTTAATCACCACATGCCTTTTCTATTATCCAACTGAATTACTCTAATTAAAATTAAAATTACATAGCATGATTTGTCTAGAGGGGTAGTATTCCAGTCGCGGACACGGCTTCCATATTGGTTAGTTAGCAGATTTTGTGACGTCACGTTTCACCTGGGGGGTAGTTTTCCGGGGGATAGTATTCCGCATCCCCGTAATTTTCTGGCAGTAACAGTAGGCTATAGTTTTCTTTGGGTAATGGGTAATTCTGAGCAATTACTTGGTCAACTCCAATTTTTTTCACATTTTACTATGGTCATCAGGAGGTTCTCAGAAAGCAAGAAACATATAATTCAAGCCCCGCAAGGCCATCGTACAGGTTGCCGAGCGATAAGAAGGTTCAAAGTCCAAGCGATAACAGTGGCTTGCGGGAGACGCGCGGAAGGCCAGTTGTGACAGTACCGTTATGGCTATGGCTAGTGGTTCCTCCGAAAATCCTTTTCTTTGTGATGGGTGTGAGAACACGGTTTCACGGTTTTAAGTGAAGATCAGGAAAAGTTAACAGAACACTGATCCAGTTGCCGCTGACTCGGATGAGGACGTTAAACCCGGCAATTACTGAGGTAATTTTTATTTGTATACGACGTATATAATTAACTTTCCGGGACCTAAATTATGTTTTTTTAGTTTCACATACATCTCTAAGGCCAATTGTGACAGTACCGTTATGTTATGTTAGGTTAATTAATAACCTAACTTAACCTAACCTAACTTATTATGTTTTTTTAGTTTCACATACATCTCTAAGGCCAATTGTGACATATTTGTGACAATAGTTAGGTTAATTAATAACCTAACTTAACCTAACCTAACTTAACCTTGCGGGGCTTGAATTGTATGTTTCTTGCTTTCTGAGAACCTCCTGATGACCGTAGTAAAATATGAAATAAAATTGGGGTTGACCAAGTAATTGCTCAGAATTACCCTTACCGTATAAGATTTTTAGTTCGGATTAGGGTCACTAGCCTAAACTTGCCTCCGATTCTTCGTTCGGACAGCTCAAGTACGTCTATGGTTACCTCGCCTTTACCTGTCACCTTGAATATTTTATGTGAAACTAAAAGATCATTTTTTAAACCTGCAATTAAGTTATGTTTCAAAATATTGGCAGATTCTATAATTTTATTTATTTTTTCAGATTGGTAACAAAAATGATATGTACATACTGTGACAAGATTTTTTCAACTGTTGGATCCTTAAATAAGCACATAGAAAGAATCCATGGAGTAAAATCTGTAAAGGGAACTATGAGATGTCTCAACTGTGAAAATAAATTCACGCGAAGGTTGAAGCTTGTTGAGCACCTAAAAATTGATCATGGTCAAGATTATGAAATAGACAAGTTGGAGTTTAAAACATCAGAAGGTAAGTGTTTTAATTTTTAATAATATCTAGATCTTGTGCAAAATATTTAAATTTTATAGGCCTAGGCCTAACAAAAAAAGTCAGGCGTAGAATTGGATCATGATAATTCAGTTAAAAATTACAATAAATGAAATATTGTGTCTTTGTAAGTTAACCTATGGTTGATTAAATTAATAGGGTTATTAGCCAGCCATAAATTACATAGGCCCTAACTTAATCTGAAAATGGGAGGGGTCCAAAATAAGAATTACGATAGGATGATGTGCATGGGGTGCGAATTAATTACTTACACTAGGGGCCACGAGAGTCTGCAGTTGGCGGCAGCCAATATGAAGACTGGATTAGCGTGACATTGCAACATATCGCTCACTAATTAAAGTATAGGTACTAAATAATATTTTCAAATCAGCTGGTATTATTAGATTTGGCAACAACGCGTGGTCCTCATTGGCTACTTTGAAGTCACGTAGTAAATAGGCTCCTTCTTCAACTGCAGACTCTCGTGGACCGTACTGTAGGCCTAAAACCAGTAAAGAAGCACATAAAGAAGGAAATACAGTAGACCCCCTCTTAACCGACCCTAATGGGACCGGACCTAGGTCGGATGATTCAAAAGGTCGGATAAAACGGGCAATCCCTAAAATCATAACATAATAAAGTGCTATTCATTTGGAATTATATAATCATTATTTTGAAGTCATACTTGCATTATTTATAAAATAAACTACTCTTATCTCACTTTTCATATAGATAGAAATGTCACAAATAAACACAAAACACGGTTAAGTCAAATAGGCCTACTTTCAGTGAATATATTATAATACTAGGCAAGAGTCAATAAAATTCCTATTTTAATAACTTTAATACTGTAATGTATTAATTAATGCTTTCCAAATACATCGTAATACAGTAAAGAACCTTTTGTCGTCATTAAAGATCCAAGCGACCATTTTGTTACAAGACAGGACGTTTATTTATAGCCTCTCACTGGAGGCCCCAGGCACAAAAACTATCTTGACCTTGGAGTTGTTAACACCCCTTCCCTGCCCTCCCTACAAGTTGCGTTGTTTGTTTACTCCAGCGATAAGATAATCAGTTCTCAAAATCATAACGCACTTTATGATGTTATAAATTTGCCGCACAGATAACAAATCAGATCAGATGTGCTCGAGCTACGAACGATGATGACAAACTGACAATAGGCTATGCTATATTTTTTGTGACCATCACAAAATAACTTATTGTTAGTCATATCCTGTGGAGATAAGCGTATGGTTCAGTTCTCATCGCCCAGCGTGGGAGTGGAAATGCCGAGATTCCTAGAAAGCGGCGGTTAAACCGAGCTGCTCTAAAAGCAAGGTCGGTTAAAACAAACTGTATTATTTTACGATCAAAGGCGGATAATCCGATTATCGGTTAATACGAGGTCGGTTAAGAGGGGGTCTACTGTATAGGCTACATGCTGCAGTGGCGTGGCTGCAAAGCAGAAACATGAGAACACGCTACAAAACCATTCAGGCTGCGGGTGCATTCAGTAGCACCATAGACAAATAGAATAAATATATTTAAAACAATACAGTTTTTATTACTGAACCAAGGGTAATGACATAACATAATTATCATGATTGCGCAATAGCCTACTAATTTTTTTATGATGTAATATCCTAAGCTTAGATTTTTGTTACAGAATTTGAGATATGGAGAGCTGAAGAAGAGAGGCGCTCAGTTGCAATGTTTCGCAATGTAATTGTGAATAGGGCATCAAAGAATGGATCCACTACGATTCTAGTATGCTCAAGAGATGGTCGAGTGAGGTCTAATGTTTCAAAAAAGCGCCAAAGAGCTTTAAAAAGTCAAGGATCACGCAGGATTGGACATACTTGTACTAGCCATATGGTTGTAAATAAAGTTCTACATCCGGAAAATAAAGTAATTGTAACTTATGTGAAAACGCACTATGGACATGGACCAGACATACAACATGTAAATTTATCTCGAACCGACAAAGAAGGAATTGCCAAAAAACTAGCACTTGGTATATCTGAAAGTAGAATATTAAGTGAAGCGCACACTCTAAACAGTGAAGTAGGATCTAGATTAGAGGTGCTGAACAAAAAAGATATTTCAAACATCAGATCACAATATGGGATAGGTATATCAGGAGGCAGGAGACATCAAAATGAAATGATGAGTGTGGATTTGTGGGTAGCGGAAGAGAAGGAGAAACAAAACTGTGTTGTTAAGTATTACAAGAAGTATGGGGATGAAGACCCAGAATTTGGATTCCAAAGTGATGATTTTTGTCTGGTAATAATCACAGAAGATCAAGAGAACTTTCTTAAACAGTATGGACAAACTATAATATGTGTGGATAGTTCACACGGGCTTGGTGGTTCCGACCGAACTATACAGCTGTCTACTGCCTTAATAGTGGACGAGTATGGGGAAGGAATTCCCATTGCCTACATGTATTGCAATAAAACTGATCGGAGTGCATATGAAAAAATGTTTCATTGCATGAAAGAGGCTTATGGCAGTAAAATTAATAATGATTATTTCATGAGTGACATGGCTGAGGCAATATACAATGCTTGGCAAGTGGTTATGGGAAATTCAAAGAACAGGTTTGTAATCAACCTTTAAGTTAAGAATACAATGGAAACTCCATGTACAATATCGAAACTTAAATTTATTTAATTAAAATACAAAATTAATAGTAAAAGAAAATAAGGGGTTCACAAAAAGTTTACTATGAGTGGGGAATGAATTTAATAATGAAAGCTTTAGGCTAAGCCTATTACAATAGTTCTAAAGGTTCAGGTGTTATAATTTATTGCATGGATCTTTATCTCAGGTGGGGTGATCGAGCGGCATTTGAATTTAATCTTGTGATTTTATAAAGCCTAATTAAAATTTTGTTTAAAATATAAAATAGGTTCAAATTATAGATTGGTTGAATTAATTAAAGTTCTGAATATTAAGCTTCTATTAGTTTCTTGACTTTGAATTTGAGTACAAATGTCCAAAAGTTAGGCCTAAAAATATTTTAATGGCTTCCAAAGGGGAAATGTCTATTGGAGTGATCTCACCAAATTGATGTCTTCTTCGCAGCAAAATGTCTTGATGTTGTAACTTAATTATTAATGTTTGTAATAAGGACGGTTCTTTTTCAATCGAATTTCACTAATTTAGGTTCAAATATAGACCCTTTTGTTATAAATTTTGATATTAAAATAGGTAGTATCCAATTTACATCTTCATACTAGCTCAGCTCCATTGGAAGTGATGAAGGTCTGATGCATTGTTGCACTCACATATGTCAATGCTGACTTAATCACATAAAATTGTAAGCCACTGTTCACACATATATATTATAACAAATTTTATTAGCTATAGAGCTAAATTATAATTTTGAAAAGTTATTTAACCCTTTTGAGTGCCAACGTCCGGGGAACCGGACGTTTTTAAAACGAACCAAAAGTGCCGACGTCCGGCCGACTGGACGTTTTTAGAAAGAGCCAAAAGTGCCAACGTCCGGCTGACCGGACGTTTCGTAATGATCGAACAGTTGTCATAACAACCGAATGGATACTCGGATTCTTTTAACCCATATATTAACATTGAGTCGAAAGTTACTAGATGCGATACATCAATTTTCGTTGGTCGAAATATCGAAAATTCGATTTTTACGAAATTTTAACCTAAAAATCGCCAGATCACGCTCGGCATTTTTAGAGCGACCTTCGGGAAAAATCATCAGCATTTTTTGAGCGTTACTTTTATTTCTCGCCTGGCACTCTAAGGGTTAAATAAAATTATATTGAATTTGAAGCAATTTTGTTACAAAAATTATAGGCTATTATATATTTATATGAAATTAGGTTATTTGAAAATTTCTATATTATATTGTTTCGAATCAATTACCCATTGGTCTGTTTGGTCATATATTATACAAGGTTTGATAAATTGACATATTGATACAAAGAAAACATATGGTGAAAGTTAAATTATTCTATTAAAAATATAAGTGGAAATATTGAATTGTTACAGGTTGTTCTGTTCGTGGCATGTCCTCCAAGCATGGAATCGGAACATTTCCAAGGTAAAAGGAACAACTGAAGAAGAAAGAAAAGAAAATGCGTCTAGGCTTCGGGCCAGATTACGGTCTTTGTTATTTGAGCCTGACCAAAATACATTTGAGAGAAAGTTTAAAGAGTTTGAGGAAGGTTTGAAATCTCCTCATTTGAAAGACTTTAAAGAGTATTGGGAGGAGAGATATGACAAAAATGCAGCCACGTGGGCATACTGTTTCCGGCAAAACTCACCTGTTACAAATAACATGCACCTGGAATCCATGCATAAGGTGATTAAATACTTCCATTTTGAAGGAAGGGTAGTCCGAAGGCTGGACGAGTCAATTTCAGGTATATTAACGTACCTTGAAAGGTGTCTCATCAACAAAAAAAGGTTACACCTCAAACTAAGACCATGGAAAAAAGCAAAAGGGATCATGGAGGCCCACAAAAAGAGTTTTGAAAATATTAGAATCGTTGAATCTACAGCAGAAGATGAATTCCTAGTGGAAAATGTGAAGTCAAGGCAGATTTATTTAATTATTAGGCACGGAGAAGTATGCTGTAATCCAATAAAACAGTGCTTTGACTGCAATGTTTGTCGGCACTCATTTACTTGTTCGTGTCCGAACTTTTTTTTGGATGCAAGTTCTATATGCAAGCATGTTCATTTTGTAGCAAGAGAAACTTCAAAAAAACAGCCTCAACTTGCAAACACGAACACCAACAAGAACATGGGACTCGTAGAAGAGACAAAGGAAGCTTGTGGTAATAACTTACTCAGTAGGCCTACACTTTTAGCCTCAAACTTAAAAAAGGATTTTATTAAATTTGTAAAAGAATTGTCCTCGTACGAAGATACATTTGATAAAATACCTTTAGCTAACCAAAAGGAGATTGTACGCTTCCTTAGAACTTCAACTATACTTTGTAAAGAAGAAGAAACTTTGAAAGAAAACAAAACCGGGTCAAAGATGAACGGCTGCAAAAGAAAAATATCCAAACAAGAAGAGTTCTGCAACAAAGTAAAAGAAATACAAGGAATGAAAAAGAAGAAGAAGAAGATGATGGTGTCTTCTAAACCAAGTTCAAGAGCTTTTGCCTCCGAGTTAAAAATCAATGAATTTGCTCCATGGGTTGATGGTCCGGTGGATCACGAAGAAGTTGTCTAAGTAAAACCTTTTTGACTAAAAATTGCATTGTTATAAAATATATATGATATTTTTATGGTTGATAGGAGGTTTTCTTTTAACCCTTTACATCTTTTAGTAGGTACCTACAGAATTGCAAAGTTAAAACTGGTTACATTGCTTAAAACACAAATACTTTGATATAATTTCCAGCTGCAGTGCAGCTAATTAAATTGAACCAAATGGTTATTATTTCAAATTGTTGTAGCCAGAGCATAAAACAAACTATTTTGACAATCAGAAACATAGCTTAGAAGTGGGCCATAGTTAGGCCTACTTGTTAAAATAAAAGATATGACAATTTAACCTACCTACTCTGAAGTAGGAAGGCATGTAAGCCTTATGTAGACAACCTTCCAAAATAAACATTAAGGATAAAGATATTAACTTATTTTAAATTTCTTGACCCAGAAGGAGAGGAAGGTATGTGTAATGTAGAGATTATAAGTAAATTGTTCTCTATCAACATCAAAGGGAAGATCAAATTACTTTATATCTAGGGATAAGCCTAATTTAAGTTTGTGGCTGACTGATGAGGAATGTGATTAAAAATAGATTGGAAGTTAAAATAAGGACAATAGTTACAAATGCATACTTGAACAAACAATTAAAAAATACATGTTGAAATAAAACTGTCCAAAATAACCTTATAAACTCACCAACCTAATAACTAATCAAACTTGGAGTAACATTTCAAAATTATTGTTGGATAAAGATTAACTACTGTACCATTTTATTTTTTTTTTAAACATTTATATTTGATTGAAAATCATAGTCAAATGTTGAATTGTTTGAAATGTATAAATAAAATTTGAAATAATTTTAACTACTGTACCTATTTAATTTTTTTCATATTTGCTTATTTTTGTTGAACAGATTGCAAATTAAATAAAATATTAAAAAAATCCGTTTGATATTAATTCTCCACAATCAATATATTATTTTTGCCTAAACAAGATATTATCAATTCGTAATTTAAATGTGTTTGAAGACACTACAAGCTTTAGTTTAATAGAGGGAATATGGATAGTAAAGTAAACAAAAATATCGATGGATCGAAACAAAATTGTCGATCATTTTATGTATCTTTCAGCAATTAACTGTAGGAAGGATTTATCCTTGCTTATAATTTGACATAACATCAATTAATTAAAGAAATCTATAAAATAAACATATCGATAAGCAAAATAATTACAGAAATATCGTTAACTCAGACAGCATTCAATGATTCAATTTATTAGGCTAGTCTAAGTCCTGTACCCAGCACCGACCCGACAGTGAGTACAGGCAGACGACGCGACGGGGCACACTTGAGAGGTGACGTCATAAAACTAGGGGTGGAAGGGCACCCACCATTTCCCCCACCACCGACAAATTTCCAAGGCACCGTTGAACACATAGCGACTCCTGTGTGGCCGTCCACTGGGCAGTTTACTGTGGCTGAGACACGACTCTCACGGAAGTACAATCTCCCAGCACTCACAGCTTACTCCACTAACTCCTTCCTAAATGCTTTTAGTGAATTTTCCTTCAGGAAAGTAGCTCTTACTATGGTGTTTATGGTTATTGCTAGACCGCTGTGGCTTTTATAGAAGTCTCTAGAAACCACAATTTGCGTTTATGTTTTAAATGTTAAAAATATATACAGGCACAACAATTCTGTTTAAAATGTTGGGATTTTGATTAAATTTGAATCACAAACAAATGTATATTTTAATGAATTTATAGAACAGTCAGGTTCAATAATAGGATGAGGGAGGGCATTTAATTATTGTTTTTATAATTTAATTCAGCTTATATACAGCCTATCATCATGATATTATCAAGTTAAAAGAGGGCTAGAGGGGTAATAGTGTTTTTGAATAAATGTGATGCAGACAATCTCTTTGAACAAAACTTACAAGAGGAAATTAGCAATAATACTGAATAAAAAGTACAATAAAACAAGTGAACAATATTTCTTTTAATAAAAGCAAAGAATATTTTGGAGAGCTGTGATAACTAAAAAAACACCCACAGCATGGTTTAGAGAGAAATTGGGAAACTATGTTTTTTGAGGGTCAAAAATAAGGAACCCAATTTTTACCCATAAAGCCCCCATAAAACCCTGTTCCCATAGTACAATCATACTGGTTTTCTAAATAGTTCAAATAAACGTAGTTGTACATGTTTGTACCAAATTTTATAAAAATCTGATCATTTTCACTTCAGTTATCGTGGTAATATTAAATAAATGAATTTGAACGGATGGTGGTTTGGCCTCTGGTAACATCAAGTAAATCGGGTCCAAGTCCAAAAAAATGAGGCCTACGGCAATATCCTGTTCCCTATATGGGAAATTGACTAAAACTCTTTTGATTGATAGGTTGATAACAATTTTCAAGAATTTATTATTTGAGAATAAAAAAATCAAGCTGATAGATAAGATAAATTACTATTCTAATGAGTTAACAAATGCAAAGAAGTAATGTAGCTTAACAAGTTAGTAAAGATAAGCATGTCAAAAAGAAGTTTTAGATTGTAGTCTACAACTGCTGTCTATAGATATAAACAATCAATGAACTGTGAATTTTTGTCAAGGTACAAGATGTTCTCCAATGTCAGCAAGAATTGTGTAATAGATATGTGGTTTTAAACATTGACCACTGGCCAAATCCTCTTCTGGTGCTTTGAACACTGATATTTACCTACTAAAACTAAACAATTACAATCCTGAGAAGACTATTTTCGCTAGAGGAAATATTACAACAGCTCTGAGAAAAGTGAAACTGTACATTTTCCTGATTAACAAGTTCCTTTATGTTGACTGTGTTATTAGTGTGGTAATGTCAAACCTGTAATGTTTAGCCTTGAGTGGCTAATGAGTCTGACAAAGTTTCCATGGATAATTAATGTTAAGTAAGACACCAGAATACTTTCATCAATCAATATCTTAATCATAACTATGGTATTAGGGATTACTATATGTTGACCAATCAATGTAGTCTGCAAAGTTAAATTATTGACAGATCATTAAATACAAATCACCCTGATCCAGTTTAATTTTAAAGGGTAATTATAATGACCCTGCCCGTCCGTCTGGGCTGCCTCAACTTAGGGTGGCGAGACCTATAAAAGACAACATTCACCTCACAGGTATATTTGTCCCACAAAGGATTTATAATTTTAAAAAATGTGAAAACGTAACCTTTTAACATTTGTGTACAAAGTTTAAATCATTTATTATTTTCATCAAATCTCAAAATAAATATAAATCAAACTTACCATGTATAGGCCTAACAATTCTTATATTAAAATCAGAAGACGTTCCCAAAATTATTTTAAGTAAAATCAAACTGTTAAAAAAAAACTTTGCAAAAGTAATATTTGGTACTTTCCTGTTAAAGGGAACATTCATTATTATCGATGATTTTTTTTCGATATATCGATAGGCCTATTAACAAATTGAAACATATCAGCTGACAACTACGATAAATATTGTTCAGTATATGAAACTGTTCTAAAAAACTAACCTAACATAACTAACCAAACTTGCTGTAACATTTAAAAATTCCGTTTTTAACTTGCCTTTTCTATTATCAAACCCAAACGGAAGTTTTAAATGGTACAGCAAGTTTGGTTGGTTATGTTAGGTTAGCTTAGAATAGTTTCATTTCTTAATCCATATAGACTATTTTAGCCCAAACAAGATCAGTTAGTTGTTCTTGTCAATTTGTAATAGATCTGATCGGAAAACAAAAATATCGATATATCGAAAAAAATAATAGATAATAATGAATGTTCCCTTTAACAGGAAAGTGCCTAATAGTTCATGGTATACTAACAGTCCCACATGTCGAGATACAGTATCAATATTACTGCCCAAGAAAACTCAAGTCTTTGACACACACAAGTGTTTTATTTCCTATGGTGATTCTTTACCAATTTGATCCTAAGTACGGTCAATCAATATAATCTGAAAATGTCAATCAATATAATCTGAAAATGTACTAATAACTCAATTTTAAAACAATAATGAGGAGCATAATAATGTTCTTGTGATCCTTCACAATCTTTTGTATATACATTGCTACCATTCATGACAGAAAACTACCGTTATAAAAAATAGTGCTATTACATATTTATATATTAAAAATGAAACGAGTTAACCATACGTGCCTATCCTTCCTCCTTAGCAGTTTTACTCTATTTTGAAGTAGTTGGGATAACTAAAAAAAAAAAAAAAAAAAAAGCCAGCTGCACAGCATGGTTTGGAGAGGAATTGGGAAACTCTGTGGTTTTAAGGGTGAAAAATGTTAAAACCCATAAAACCCCGTTCCCGTAGTCCGATTATGCTTTTTTGCGAACAAGTTGACAAAGTTTATGCTAGATCAACATCTGAGAAGTTTGTAGGCAGAACAAGAGTTACACAAAGCACACGATTTAACTTTTGCTCCATTTCTGATTGCCAGAAAATCATTTAGAATTTCATAAGACAACAAAACAACTTGGCCGAGTGGGTGACCGATATCGCGGGCGAAACAAACGAGGACAAAACACAAGAATGTCTGGCAGTGAAAGGCGGGGCGGGAGGTGAAGGCCGGAGCAGCGGCAGCGGCGACGTGTTGGTAACTGGTAACCCGAGTCGTTACCGACGTTACCGTTACAGTTACCGTGCCACTGTTACCACGGGCACACGTCCTGCCTTCGGAAACCTCGGTCCAACGAGATAAGACCATAAATAATTGTCCGTCATCTGAGAATACAGACAGATCAAACGAGCCAAGAAAATAAATCGTTTTGGCAAATAATAATATATCAAGGTAGACTCACAGTTAAAGCCCTGTAAACAAACAGTTCCTCAGGGTGTGGCTCGGCGAGACTAAATCTGCCTTCAAAAACAAGACTCGAATAAGATATGATCATGAGTAATTGCAGATGATAAAAACAATGTTGCCTAAGTCCAGAAAAAATCAATTTGACCGATGAACATGTACCAGTTAGGACATATCGGTTGTTGGTT